ATATATATATATATATATAAATCAAGTTGGCGAGTCTCATAGAGAGTCCCAAGCTCTTTCGGGTGTGCTTTTTGAATCATAACTTTTGTCGTACATATTTTGGAATGTGATATATTAATCAACAGTTTAGCAATAAAATGGATTAAATGAACGGAATAAAAGCCTAATTACCAAATCTTGATTTTAATAAAAATTAAAATAACTTGCTACTTTTTTCTTATACACAAATACAGTATCTAACTGAATTTGTATAATGTTTTTAAGAAGTCACATGTTACAATATTTCTCTATTACGATCAATATTACATTAAAAAGCTAATCTCCGGAAAAAGGCCTAAGAAGAATTTACTTTTATTCCACTCATCCCCTGAATTATTGCATAATATCGTAGCAATATATCTACAATATATCTACAATATTTCTCTAAATATTGCAACAATATTGCAGAATATTGCAGCAATATTTCATTTTAAGGGATGTAGGAATATCGATGTATTATTATAATAGCAATGTTATATAAAATATTTTCAAAGTAATATTGCTAAAAAATCATTAAAATCATCACAACTTAAAAAGAATGTTTTTTTAAAGGTTGGAAAACAAAAATGATAAAAATGTCATATATTAAGAATGTTTTTGCTATAATATTGCTATATTTCATGTTAGAGTGGCGTTTAAGGATTGAATAATATTTTTAACTAATTTATGGTTCAATGATTTATATTGACATATATTATTGTTATTATTATTTAACTGCATATCATAATTGATTTATAGCGCGAACGCTTTTACAGCATTTTATAATCGATCAGCAATGTCATAGAACAGCTGGTCGGTGCCACACACCTTTCATACTAAACGTCGGTCGAACAATTCGAAATTCTCGATACGATCTTTATGGACGACATTGTGTTACCATAACTCACTCTGCATCGTTGTGTTACAGGCAGGTCAAGCAAGGCATTCGTGTTGTTAATACTTGGACGTGCGCCATCGCAGTAGCGCGTACAGCACAAGTCATAAATATAATTCGCGTGTGATCTGTAAATCGATTTCGCCACTGTCTGGTTGCAACGATAATTTAGGAATTAGCAACGCTTGTTTATTTTACGGAGCGATCCATTCATATTTGTGTGTATCTTTGCTTCTCTGTCATTTTATCACGCGCGCTTGAAATTCATAACGACAGTACTCATTTCTCTTCTTACGGTACTCACCTGTCTGCGTACCGGATGCCGAGAGATGTGCCAAGCGGTAGATCGTCAGGAGCCGAAGAAGCCACATGACACTGCACATGACTGGCTCGGCGCGCGGCCCCTCGCTGCCTTATCTATTCCCGCTGCTGCGGCCTGTGTACCACGGCCTCGACATCGCCATCATCTGAAACACAGATATGGAAGTCGTGAATAAATAGTCAGGCTCGTTTACGCTCCTTATCTCTCGGCCCCACTCGAGTTCGCCAATTCATCGTGTCTAATCCGTGAATTGGAAATCCCGGCCTAGCGCTGTTTCGTGCCAGCGCAGCGTAAGAAGATTTTCGTAAGATGACTTTATCGCAGTGTCGAGCCCTGACGTTAAGTCGTCTAGAAAATCGTTGAAAAATATACGAACCGAATGTTTAATTACATAGACAATTGGGTTAAAAAGCATGATTTGCCAAACTTAATTATCGATTTTATCAAACACAAGTTGTCAGACTACACTGAAAGAAAAGATTAGTTGTTGCAGCAAATTAGTTGGTAAAATATGGCATAGCATTTTTAATTGGCTGTAGCAGCCAATTTGTGGTTGCAGCAATCAATTTTTGGTTACATTAGCCTATTCACTATTTGTCAGTATAGAATTTCGATAGGCTAACTCAATAAAAATTGGCTGCTGCAACCAATTAAAAATAATATATCATTTTCAGCCAATCTCTTCTTTCAGTGTAGTCGCAATCATTTATGTACAATATCCGTGTACAGAGATTATAAATATCAACAGAATCATTGTTAAGTATGAAAATTGGATGCCTAGGCAATACACAAAAGACCGCGATATAGTGATCCGTATAGTATTTCACAAGGCTTTTATTAATAATGATACAATAGTGTCACAAAATTTAACAAAAAAGCGTACAAAAGGCGGGAACATAACGTCCATAAAAAAAAGGCAGAGAGAAGTTAGTATGTAAGTAAAAATGAAATATATAGCAAGCAGAAGCTAGAGAGCATATTACAAAATGGGAGCAGTTCATTGGTTCGAACATTTAGAACGCGAGTGCTTAAAAGTACGCTGAACATTCTCAACAGTCATTAATAAAGCAGTTAGTGTAAAGCAATTAGGTGTTGGACAAGTAAAAGTAACATATATAAAAATAAAGGATTCCCAGTGTCACGAAACGAATGTCTCGCGTAGAATTTGAGGTCTGAATGTGAGATATTTTCGCGCGTCGAGAAATAACGAGAAAGAAGGAAGATGTGCGCGGCGCATCGTTGCTATAACGTAATTAACTCGTTTTATACTGGCGCTCGTAAGTCGGCCGACTGCCGCGCTAATATGAAAGTATAACCGTCTCTACGGGTATTAACTTCTAAACTTTCCCACGGGCAGAGCGTGCGAGGAGAGAGTTTAATTAAAGTATGATTAAACAGTGTAGAAGTAATTGAATGAAACAAGTAATTCCTTGCATTTATGCATTTGGTATGAGGTGTTATGTATTGTTGATATGATATTTTAGATCACTTTATCTTTTAGAAATTTTAAACGTTCGCTTTAAGTTTAGGAAGTGGTTAAAATTTTTTTTTTGAAAATTTTGCAAATTTATGGAGAGTCCCTTCTCTTTCTTTATATAAAGCCAAATTCTGTCAGCAAATTTATGGTCTATATGGTTTGAGATCTTTGAAAGATTAAATAAAGTAGTAATTGAGAAATTAGATTGGGTCACTAAATCAAGAAATACCTTATACAGCGAGTGAAAAATACGCGATCTCACGTATCATTATCCAATCTTGATTTTGACGACGCAGCGAAATCAAAGGCGGTGCCAATTGAGGACACGGAATGGGACGTATCACGTATCGCGTGACATAGTGAACGTAGTCCTTCCAATGGCTCGCTCATCGAGCCCCTTTCATTAAAGATTACATTGATGCAACTAACAGTTAATGATTTCAAGAAATTATCAGTTTCGAAATCGAGTCACAAGCTTGCACTCGCTTCTCAAAATACTGTTGAGAGTTATTGCCATTAGATAGTGCGTAATTGTTTCAATAAGATTACATTCTGTAACATTGAAGCTTCAAATATGATATTAATAAGCGATATTAATAAATTTCAATTAATTTCGATATTAATGAATTTCATATGTTTTACATTTATTTTCTTATTTGCTATATACAATAAAAATATAATGATGTTTTACATAGTAAATAAAAAATATATATGATACATTTAAATATATTATTTGAAAAACATATTTGAAATATATTAAATTATAAATTAAAATATTTAATTTTATATTCAATGCTATTTAAACTTTATAATCATGATACTGTAGTGTATTTATGCTGCTTATTATTATATTTATTCTTCAGAGAATTTCAAAATGAGTGAATTTGCTTACGAGTTTCTGATAGCTAAAATGTATCTGCAATTAGGACGATAAATGCTAATGGAAAAGCCATACTCCTCTTTTCCAAATTACATTAGCATAAAGACCTAATCAGAAGATTTAACTCACTTCAGGCTAAAACTTCTCTCGTATCCAATTTCATTTAATATCGTCATTACGTGCTTGCTATTCAATTTCAAATGAATATAAAATATCTTAATTTTTCATAAAAATCACGACGCAGTGTCTAAATTTCTTCATATGCTGCCACGTTTTGGCAAAAAAGCAACAATTTTTATGCTTCCTCGAAACCCTGATGTAAAACCTGCGCAAGTTACAATCGGGAATCGATGTCACGTAGAAGAACCAATTTTATAGAGACATAAAGGAGCTAGACCAAATTGAACGATATTGCTTTGTGACTCTTATTAGAATGTTACTAGGTGACGTATTCCCGCTGAAGCTTTCGCAAAACGCCAGTCTCCAAGAATCGGTGCACAATGAGGGCGCGAGGAGGCGATATATCGTCCGATTTAAATCTCTCTCGCGGCGATGCGCCGTCACGACGCGCTATTAATTCCGAGCGATATATTTCGGTACGCGTAAGCACGACATAGAGAAAAGAGACTGCGCCATCATTGCAATTTATTTATCTCCAACTGATCTACGTCGTCGCCAACCCCCATAGTATATCTCGTGGTTAATTTATTTCGTTAGTTGAAAATCGTGGCCCAATGCCAAAAATCGTCTGTATATCGCGTTCGCACTACTATATTTCGTTTTATACTCGCCATTGGTCCCGCATTCTCTGATTCTTCCTTTTTATCACGTTCTGAATTTAAAAGTTTTCGCGAACCATAAAATCTCTACTATATGGAGTAACATTTACACTCTAAGAATCTTATTGTGTTAATTTGCAATGCTATATGACACTGTTTTAAACTTCTGACTTTATAATTTGTAGCAACAGATATTTCTTAATTGAGAATGAACTTTTCTCTAAGAAAAACTTGAAAGAGACAGCCGTTATTACACGGAAAGAACGATTTTACTTAGATATTGTTTGATAATTTGGCAGATACAGATCAGAAAATAATTTTGTTGGATCATCAAAATAATTATGTAGGAGATATAAGTATAATAAGTAATGCTGCAAGAAATTTTGATAATCTAGCAATTAGTTTGAGTGTCCTACAGGTACCTAAACCGAATAAAATTTAATTTCTTTTAATTTTTTAAAATTCTGTTTATAGGGATTGAGATAAACTAAAGTTATACGTGAAAACTAATATTTTCAACATTTTTTTCTCTCTTATTTCATTGTAAATCTACCGTAGAATTTTGCACACGACAATTTCGGTACTTCAATTTCATTACACAAAAAAATTAATTATTTCTCTAGTACTTGATTTATTAAAGAATTTTAATGGGTGATATCTAAAAATTATGATTTATATAGATATTGCAGTGTCAATGTTTCCTATAAGCACATATTGAAGGGTGTACTGTAAGTGAGTTAACTCATATTAAAAAAAAACCTTTGAGGCAAATAGTAGGGCTTGTCATTCATACATTTCCAGTATCACACGTTCGGTTGTGGATTAACTCATTATGCAATAAGTCTTTCAGTTTATTGAGTCATATGTTATAAAAATTACATATCATTTGTATTAATCTATCCCAAAAGTGAAGAGAAGTGTATTAATCTATTCCAAAAGTGATAAGTGCCGATCGAAGAACGCTATGATTACTTTACGACTAGCCAATGGTTCTTTTAGTTTTGTTTCTTTGCAGTATTTGCTCGCAGTTCCAAATCTAAATTCAAGTAGAGATAAGACGCAAAAACATATCAGTTCATATATTTTTATGAAGAGACCGACTTAATAATTACACTTAGAAAAAAAAGTTTTTGCAATCTATTTTAATCTATTTTAATACTAAAGTGCATATGATTAATAATATATCTGATACAAATTGTTACGTATCTCCTAAACATTTTACTAATCATTCGATTCGAAAGGCCAAAGATAATCGAGAATATCAAAATGAGGAAAAAATAGTGATTGTGTAATGCCACGAACTTTCAATCCTTAATGTATCCCTGTTTTATTTGGAGTTGCATTCTCGGTTTTCATTCTCAATTATTTCCGGATTATAAGCTCAACGCTTTGACTTTCGAATTTTCGAAATTGTATTACATTTTGTCAACCATCGTTATCTGTGCTTATTGTGTTATAAACTTTGCATTCATTGACAATATTATTAAATCAAAAATAAATTATGGAGATGTAGAGTTCATTCATGTTGTTATGTACTATATTCTCATCAGTTTTATAGTAACCATCACACATTTTTCGAGTGGTTCGCGAATGCGCTTGTTGCAGACAATATTGGAGGTCTTTTTGAAATTACCCTCGAAATCATATCAAAAACTATCGAGGTTGATTCACATTAAAGACATATTGAGTAATATCATCAGAATTGTGTAATTAAGCATAAATTTGTACAAAGTATTAAAGTATAAAATCAATTTTTTCATTATTCTAATTAGGATACCTACAGTATACTCTGCTCTGTTGGTGTTACAAATACAATAGTTATGTTGTATATAAACTGTGTTTGTGTTTTAAAAGCATGCTTTAAGAGAGTCAATGCCAACTTGGTGCACAAGCAAAAGTTTGCAATAAACGATATGAAGCTATGTGTCTCCAATGTGGCACACACAGAAAAATAAATTTTTGCTGACAGAACTCGGAATTTTGAAGAAGAAATCTAATGATTAGCGAGT